TTTTTTTTTTCCAGGGATATAATAGTGACATCACCATTACTCACCTTCTTGGAGATGCTCCTGGTGAGCATCCTTGGCTTTCATTTGCTGAATCGCCAACTGGTCTATCAACAACTTGTTCTCCTCTAAAACTAGTTCTGCTTGAGTCTGAAGCTGATGCCTACAAATGATTTACAAAATTAAATACAGCCATTCAGGTACTGAGTGTGATTACAGTAACCTACCAAGTCTAAAAGAAAGCAACTGATTTATGGAGGTAATGAATATCTGGACATGTTTTAATGTTGTACATTTAGTAGAACAGCCAATTCAGCCATTTGTATTAAATAGGGAAAAGAATTGCAATGAAGTTTGAATGATGGCCTGCTTTAGTACCTTTGTTTTCATTTTGATGCTACAGATAAAAGCCAGGGCTTAGGCAGCTGCGATACCACTGAGCTATTCTCTGAACCCTTGAGTAACTTTTTAAAATGTATCAGGGCTGGGAGTATAGCTTAGTGGTAGAGCATGTGCTTCATATGTGTGAGGTCCTATTGATCTCTAGCATAAAACCAAAACAACCTGTGTAGAATGCAAAATTTCAAACATATACAAAAGAAAATAATATAGACTCTCATATACATAATATCCAGCTGACACAAGCATCAAATGGACCACATTTCATCTATATAAACCTCCAATCCCCACATGCACTGAATTATTTTGAAGCCTGTAAGAATTTAGAAAGTTCCCATTTTACTGAAAAAGTACTCACTTATGATCAGTAGCTTAGTTGCCTAAAAATAAATACTTTGTTAGAAGGCTTTGTAATGGTTTCTTAAAACTACACAAGTCTACCCTAATCTTTATTTCACCACAAGCAAACCCTTTTCTTAAAGAAAGTGCAATGTAAATTCTATCCAGCTCAACCTTCAGGATCCAAAATTCCAATAAGCATGAGCTGAAGGAATGGTATAATGGTCTAGTTAAGTGCTTACCACCCAAAATAGACTATAAACAAATAACTATCTTGATTTCCTACTTTAA